ATATCAATCATATCGGGTGCCGTTTGTTTGACCCACGCCAAAGAAGTTTTCCAAGTTTTTGGTAACAAATTGATGGCGATGAAATGATAGAAATTTGTCGGTTCTGATGACTTATTATCAGCGTTCTAACAAAACTTCTGTTCGATGGCTCCTATGATAAACAGGGACTGACATCCATGAAAGGACGGGAAAGTAGAGAATGAATGCGCAGGGGAAATGGGTGAGGGTTAAAGGTGACAAGACAGCACTTCGCTTGAGTTTTGCAAATCAGACCAAGTAGGGGCAAAGTACCAGCTCGTGATTCGGTAAGGTGCAAAGTTTCCGCTGAGGTAAGTGACCATTACGAACAAGTCGAAGAAGCCGGAACAATTTGGATGAATTCCTTTCAAGACCACAATCTAGCTGATACAGGAGAAAACAGCTTTACACCATTTTGATGAAAATTGATATTTGAATCATGATTTACAACTTGATGCCTTCATCCGGATGGGGGTGTAGCCATTCACCAGTGGTGTACGAGGGGCTGAATGATCGTAGCCTTTTTTAATGAAGGTCACATGAACTGTGAGACGTCTGCATGTACGGGCGCCCTTTATTTAGAACATTCAAGGAATCACCCAACTATATCAAAAGATAAGAAAGGAGAAGCGTTAAAGGACCACAAGCGAAGGCAACTCACCATGATGCCGTCGTCACAGTCGTGGTAAATGTTAAGTTTTGGTTCTATTGTTGTGAATTCTTCAGCATGTCCACTAATCTCAAAGTGACCGCTACTGTCAGTCTTTCCGGAAGCCATCAGCTCGTCTGGGCTCACTAAAAGACTTTCAGATTTCTGTGTACTGCGAATGAAACAGGATAGTTTTTGTGGGTAGAGTGAAATAAAGCTGTAGTTTCGTATAAAATATTATAACAAGGTCTCTCTAACAGTCCTTGATTGGGTCCATTATTAGTATCATCTTGAGTGGGCGATAATGTCGAGCTTCAGTTGAAGAAACCACCTATTCTGAAGAATCAATCAGTGCTCAAAGATCATAGTCGAAAAAGTAATTTGGACCACTGCTTTTTTTGAATGTTAGAATCTTTATGGATTTGGTAATATTCAGTTTCTGTTAGTAATCATAGATTCGACTTCCAAAGATAGATCTGTTAGTCTTCAGGGCTAGGTTTAATTCTTTTTTCAGAACGTAGAATAAATGTATTCAAGTGGAATTGTCGAGGCTGTAGAGCCATCAGAAGCTATAATTTCATAGAAAACTGATTTTCTGTTTCCTGTCCTTGGTAGGGCAAAGTTTTCCTTCCATTCATACTGACCAGCCTCTTTGTGATTTATTCCCATCTTCGACAAACTCAATGATATCATCGCTGCAGTACTTGGAACAATGATTATTTACCACCAGATCAGTTCATAACTAAGGAACTACCTACATGGAAAGCCCTACAACAGGAAGCATAAGACCTTTTGGAATGTATTCGGAAGTGTTGCTCGATACATTAGTTTCGATAGCATGAAGCGGACTCGCGATTCCAACTAAAGTAATTAACTTTGCAACCGAATATGCAAAGCAAATGCTGTAAAGTTGGTAGCAAATGGTGTAGTCGCCCACATCGCCTACGGGTTATGCGGTCCCCGAAGAGAGGTTGGAGTGAGATGTTTCCAGAAGGTTGTCGAAATTTCAATATGTAGCGATGACACGCTGCAAAGGAACGAGTGAAATCAGCTCTCCCAGTATCTCGACATGACTGTTATTTCGACAATTACTGCTCCGTTTTTTTTTTAAATTTTCGTACTTTCATAAGACAGTGAGTTGGAGCAGGCCAAGTGCTTTCGCTTGACTACTACCATTTGGGGCCTCTCAATTCTGAACGCCATCTCGATCCGTGGCAACGACCAGGGGTCGGGAGTTTTGACCAATAGGGTGAAAGTTCGAAGGGACCCCATTTTTAGTACAAGCACAGCTATTTGATGCATAAAATTTCGGTTTTCTTTTGATGGCTGGGGAAGCACTTACGCTTGTCTTCATCATAGAGCTTGACCTGCACATCGGCTGCCGGCTTATCATTACATATAAGCACTCCTTTGACACCAACAGATTGTGTACGTCCAAGGGCAGCTGCCATTGGCATGAAGGTTATGAGAAGGAGAGCCGGCAGCATGCTAAATATCAATACGCATTAATCGCAAAGGTAACAATTAAGTGAAACTGGTTTAGACTCTTTTTTCTCCAGTGTCTCACCTAAGGAGTTCGAGGGAGACATCAGGAACGTGAGACTGAAGAAAAAAGGCCGGCGGAACCAGGCCATGAAAGGCATAGAACAACAAAATCCTGGCCTAAGTCGGCCGGATCAGCGAGAATGTTCGAAACAAACTACCTACGCATTAATCAACAAGGGTGGTGGGTAGTACATAGACTGTGTCCTGCACGAGTAGTGTTTGATCGTGTTCACCATATCCATCCATTCGAGGTCGAATGACTCTTTCATTCATTGGTTTTCAACATCCCAGGCCCAATCAGGCCTACAAATTTTTTCTCACTACGATCACAGGGCGGAGGTGGTGTAGATCCGCCTAGGCCAAAGAGATTTCTTTCCTTTCGAGGTCTATGAATTGGTAACAGACTGTTCTGGGAGGATAACAGCAGTGACTTGTACATCAGCTGGTCATCGCAAGCCATTGTTTAGACCACATAAGCATTCAATATGCCACTACGATTCTGAATGAATGGAATTAGGATGCGGGGCGCACCTCTCACACCGGACGGATCAACACCCTAACACTATAGGCTTTTCCATATTTACAATGAATTACTTACTTCCTGGCTTTCAGACAGGATAAAAAGCAGTTGGACTGGCATGATTGAAAAGCTATAATACAAAATAGAAAAGAGACTAGGTCAGAAGAGGAAAGCTTCTGCGTATGATTAAGGAAGGGCATGGGTAAAAATTAAAGTAGGTTTACGAAGAACACAGAGCGTCACAGATTTCAGGTTCTCACACAGTTCGAGAGCCTTCTTTCCTACTTTTCACCAAGTTTGGAAAGTAATCGATGGTGAGTAAAATAATGAATAGCAAATCGATGTACAAGGGATACAGATGTATAAATTAAAAGAGGATAATGCTGAAAATGAACAATACAAGTACAGGTCGCGAGATGGAACAAAAGTAGTACTGAAATGTAGGACAGAAGTACATAATTATGAAGATTAGGCTTTTTGCTTTGGTCAATCCAGTTTTATTATGGCACTGGTCTAGTATTCAAAGATTCCACTCATGATCATAGTGGAATCTTTGATTACTATATCACACGACGGTCAGGGGTTCCAATACCGGATCGATGCCCGCCCTGGCCAACCAAGCCTTCCATCCCTCGGGGTCGGTGAATTGGTAACAGTCTCGTCTGGGAGGATAAAAGACTGACTTGTACATGTGCTGGCCACCGCAAGTCATTGTTCAGGCCACACGCACTCAATACGCCACTACGATTCTGAATGGAAGTCGAGTGCGGGGGCGCATCCCACAACCGGGATTGATTAAGGCCAAAAACTTTATCCTTTTTATCATAGTGGCATTCAAATATATCCCAGTTCGTGCTTCCATTCTCCTGAACCCCTCGTACCTTTGACAGATTCCGTAGGGATGTAATTCTCGGTTGGCCTAGGTTGATTTCGATCACCCGTCTTGATCCTCTCTCCTTCACTCTCATTGAGAAGCTCAAGGAGTTCAGGACACTCAGAGGCACAGTCCTTTGACAGATTCCGTAGGGATGTAATTCTCGGTTGGCCTAGGTTGATTTCGATCACCCGTCTTGATCCTCTCTCCTTCACTCTCATTGAGAAGCTCAAGGAGTTCAGGACACTCAGAGGCACAGTCCTTTTTATCACATCTTTCCCGAATGACACAGCTGCTGGCACCATGACATGGTGGAGCAGGAACAAAGCGACTGCTCACAAGTACATGAACTGGGTACATGGCAGAAGTTTCGCTGTTCGGGCTTGGAAGCTCACTTCAGTTTTGACCGTTGACAAGTAAAAAGAATAAAAAATGGAGCTTGAACTCGTTGACCATTTTTATTAAAAAGTGCACTGCACAATTGGGTAGTCAAGACCTGCAAACAAGTTTTCTCATCCGGTTTCTGCCTTATTCATAAATTGGTTCTATCAATGCAGGTCTGTTTGCACCCGCTTGCTATGTACAACCCTTGTCCCGTGCTAGTGCAAGGGTCCATTTCTGTCCCGCCACTTTCCACCCTTCATTTCTGCCCTCCTTGAAAGTGAGGCACCCTATAGTGTACCTGGACTTCGATCTAGGCATAACTGATAAATAGAGGCGAAGCAGTGTGCAACCAAGTGATCCAAGCCTCAGGTATTGATAGATTCGAAGGTGTTTCGATACAGTATCGTGAACTGATGAAATTTATTCACTTTATCATCACCTACGAGGGAAAAATGTGGGTTCTAACTGAACTCCTGCACTCATCAGGAGTTCAGGATCAAGAGTGCCTGAGTAGAATAATTTGCCGAATGTAATTTGGTAGTGGCAAGCTTGTTCTCTCGGATTCGAAACGAAATTGAAATTAGCATAAAAGGGAAAAGAGAAATCGACGGTGCCATTGTAATCAGTGGAAAATCATTGTGTGATGGTTGTTTTAGAGGGGTGGAACCGCGCAGTAGCAACAGTGTAAAACTCTCGTCACGTCATGCAAGGTCACGCGTATCATTCAACGAGTTCTTCTTATATCTATCGAAAGGTCTCATAAAGAATATTGTTTATGTATTGGTAAAAAATCTGAAGGGTATGGGAGACGGGCGTTAGAAACGATTTTGGGT